ACTTTTCCCTTAAAAATAAGTCACAGAATTATGTTTAGCAGTTCTTCCTCTGTATTCATTATTCTAAGCATCTCCTCATTGATAATGTATCATCTACAATATCTTGTAAGAATCATAATTCTAGCTAAATATTATATTACAAAGAGCCATGATCAAAGAAAATATGAATTTGAATGTTTTGTGGACTTTAAAAAGGCATTTGATAAAGTACAGCATATAAATTTAATGCAGATATTTATAGGAAGAGATGAAAAAGATATTTGTGTCATTAAAAATTCATACTGGAATCAGTAAAAATTAGAGATAACTAAACTGAAAAAATCTCCATACAAAAAATGGTCAGACAATGTTGCATTTTGTCCCCAATATTGTTCAATGTTTACTCAGACCAATTATTCAAAAAGGCATTTGAGAAACAACCATATAGAATAAAAATCAATGGGGAACTAATTAATGTATTTAGACATGCAGATGATACAGTAATTCTGTCAGAAAGTATTGAAGGTCTCCAAATTCTGCTTCATCATATTCACTAAGTAGGAGAGGAAATGGGCATTAAAATAACCTCAAACAAAACCAAACTCTTAGTTTTTAGTTGTGACCCACATCCAGATGTAGACCTTCAATTAAATCAAGTCCAAGTTGAAAAAGTTCACAACATTAGGTAAATATTTTATACTGTCATAACAGATTAACTAGATCCAGATATAAGAATAAAACACAGAATAGCAATACTAAAATGACATTTCTTTTCAACCATCATCACAGTTTAGAATTAAGACAAAAAATAGTTAAGTAATTGTAATATTTGGTCTGTACTTTTGTATGGAGCAGAAGTGTGGACACTAGAAGTATTAATCATGAATAGAATTAAAGCATTGGAAATGTGGATTCATAGACAGATACTGAAAATACCTTGGATATCAAAAAAAAACTGATGAGGAAGTACTAAGGAGGGTCAACAACAATACCTAATTGCTAAAGACTGCTAAACACTGGTAATAGTTTTATCTAGGACATATCATCATCAATCAGCCAATCGCGTCCACTGCTGGACATAGGCCTCCCTCAGTTCTTTCCAGTGTTCTCTACACTGGGCCGCTTGTAGCCAGTTTCCTGCTACACATTTAATGTCATCAGTCCATCTAGTCGGTGGTCGTCCTCGGCTTCTTTTATAATTTCTGGACCTCCATTCCATAATACGTCTTGTCCACCGTCCATCTTGTGTTCTGGCTAAGTGCCCTGCCCAGTTCCACTTAAGCGTCGTGGTTCTTTCGATGACGTCTTGAACTCTGATCTTCGCCTGATTTGTTGGTTTGTTATGTGGTCTCGAAGGCTCACGTTCAGCATTGCACGTTCCATGGCTCGTGGTGTAACTCTAAGTTTATTCGCAGATTTTTGCGTGAGTGTTAAAGTCTCTGCTCCATAAGTTTGTACAGGTAAAACACATTGGTTATAAACCTTTCACTTGAGACACATGGGAATTGAACTTTTTAGAATATGGCTTAATTTGCCAAATGCTGCCCATGTTAGACCTATTCGCCTCTGTATTTCATGTGTTTGATTGTCTCTGCTTATTTTGATTTCATGTCCCAGATATTTGTAAGTGTCTGTTTGTTGTATGGTATTATTGTCAATAGTTATATTTCCACTCATTACGAGATTTGTTATAATTTTAGTTTTCTCAAAGTTTATCTTTAATCCTGCTCTTTCAGACAGACTTTTAAGCGAATGCATCATAGAAACTGTATCATGTAAGTTATCTGCGATTAATACAACATCATTTGCAAACCTTAGGTGATTTAATCTTTCTCCATCTATATTGATGCCCATATCTTGCCATTGAGTACCCTTAAATATTGACTCTAGAGCTGCCGTGAACAATTTTGGTGAAATATTGTCTCCTTGTCTAACTCCTCGACCTAAGCTGAATTTTTCTGTGTCTTCGTGCAGTCATATACATGATATAGTGTTCTGATAGATGTTTTTGATTAGTGTTGTGTACCTGTAATCTATTCGGCTTTGATTTAGGGTTTCCAGTATTGTTTCAAACTCTACAGAATCAAAAGCCTTCTTGTAATCAACAAATGCAAGAACCAGTGGTATGTTGTACTCGATACACTTTTCTATTAAGATCTTTATGGTATGCAAATGGTCATTTGTGCCATATCCTGCCCTGAAGCCTGCCTGTTCTTTGGGCTGATAGAAATCAAGTTTAGGTGTTAGCCTCTTTGTTAAGATTTTCATAAAGAGTTTGTACATATGTGTCAAGAGGCTGATGGGTCTATAATTTTCTAATTTAGTAATATCGCCTTTTTTGTGTAACAAGACTATTACTGCATTGTTCCAGTCTTTTGGAATCGTACCCACATGTAAGCATTTAGTAAACAGTTCGCTTACTGATTTTAATAAAATTTCTCCACCTGCTTTTATTGCCTCGATAACGAGTCCATCATCACCAGGCGATCGATGGTTCTTCATTTCCTCTAAATCTAGGACATATAGTAAGGGGAAATTAATACAGAATACTACAACTGATCCTTAAATGTAAAATAGAAGGCTGTAGAGGTGTGGGAAGAAAGGTTAAAAAAACATTCATGAATGGACTGGATATAAAAAGCAGGACAATTATTTCATATTGTACACGGAGAATGTAGCATAATTCTGATATGGCACATAAAGAAGAAGAATCATAATTCCAATATATTCATTATTTAAATTTTTGCATTCTTTTAGGCATATATTTGTCAATTTTAAAAGAAATTCAGGAAGAGATTACATAATGGCAGACATTTTAAATATGAAAGAGCACAACTAATAAATGCAATCAAAAATTACGTAAAAATATTTGTAACCACAACTTATTATAGATGAGTAGATGGATGCAACATGAAGCCCAATACTTAAGAGAGGTGTCAAATGAGAGTGCCAGAACTATGGAGGCATTGTGCTCCTAAATATCACTTGCAAAAAATATTAGCTGTATTTATCAGAAGAGGAATATTTGCACTAAGAGAAGTACAGATGTAAAGCTGTAAGAAGAATAATCCATTCATCTTGTAAGTAGGGCACACTCAAAAGTAGTATTAAAAAGAACATTAATTTCTCTCAGAATAGTTCCATTGGGATGATTTACTCTCTTATAGTTAAATAACTTATCAAGAAATATTTATTTCAATTCCAATAATCTTTATTTCAAATTACAATACTTGATTGCTATCTTTTGCATAGTAAGTAGTGAAATAGCATTTAGGTATTTTGATTATCATAATATTCACAACTTTCTATAATGATTTTTCTACAATATCCTGTGATAATGCATGAATTCTAGATTTGACTGCAGCAATTATATTCTCATCATCTTGTATTGTGCTCAATATTATATCTTAGTTTCCACCTTTGGCTAGAATACTGACCTCTTATAATGATGCATTATTTTCTAGCCCACATTATTTATTTCTAAAGCTACATCTACTTCAATGTGATAAGGGTCAGAACGTCGTCTGAACGCTGAGTGTACTTCTCAAATATGCATGCAATTTATATCCTTTGGATTTAAATCATAATTGTAAAATGTACCACACACAATGTATAGCTACAAGACTATATAGGATCAGTATTTCATATTTGATGTCAATCAGATAGCCAAGCAGGCTTGGCAGATGAATTGCATTCACTTCACTGTGAAAAATCCACTAGGGGATATATTGACATGGATGTGAAACTTGAATCCTTTCAACCACTGATGAAAATCAATTGAGAATATTTGAGCACAATATATTAAGAAAGATATTTGGACTAACCCATTGTAGTGATGATTCATAGAGAATAAAAATGAGTTCATTTTTATTCTCAAAGTCACAAAGACTAAACTGACTTGACTACTTAGATAATTCAGCAGTAAAATTAATACAGAGATGGATACTCCAAGGAAATAGGACAAGAGAAAAGCCCCGTAAAAAGGTGGATAGACCATGTAAAGGAAGATCTTAAAACCATGAACATCAGGCAGTTGTGAAGGAAAGTATCTAATAGGACAGACGAGCTGAAGAAGAATAAGATGATAGATTGTAGTTTAACATTCGTAATAGATCTGCTATTTTGACTAGAATATGCTGGTGTATATGATCAGCATACAGATGAGCAGTACTGCAAGAGATGGATACTTGCAGCTTGGTTACACACTCCATAGATATCTACTGTATATGAGTTTGTACATGTATAGATAGATTTCTTATTTGACTACCATTAGAAGCATATTTTTGCAAAACAGAGTTTCACCTGATTAAAGTGACATAGTCTTTTTATTTGGATCTTATCAGTTGAATGTCTACTATTTCCAAATCCACTAAAGTTCCACATTTTTAAAATAATATAAACTTATGTAAAGCTATGAGATCACTAATATATTCTTAAATTAATCATTAGGTTATTAGTTAGTATTCTGATATTAATGAAAAATGAAAATAATGACATTGATTAACTTAATAGTTTTATAAAAATGTAACATTGCATAACATTATATTAAAAACAGCTCCAAAATAGTTGTTTTAATTTCTTTAGTGTATCATATATGATGATGAGATGATTTATTATCCCATCTAAAAACCAATGAAATATTACAAATAATGTTACTCCTCCAGTTTTATTGGGATTGAATATGAACAGGCTAAATCAACTTAAAAAATATATTTAGCTGTTTTATATTAGAAAATTTGTTTTATTTTATAAACTTATCACCCCACTCCTTAACTTATGCTCACCCCTAGTATTAGTAGCCTAATTTATAACTAATTTTGTGTATGAAGACTACAGAAGAGATACTTTAGAAGTAAAAACTAAAATAATAAATGTGAATTGGAATCATATAACTGTCAATGGTTAAAATACCTAAAGGAGATAGTAAAGGGGAGATTTTATTTAGTATATGGTTAATAAAATAGTCATAGCAAACAAATGCAACAGTTTCACTCATAAATATTAAAAATTGTTATACTTACTCAGCTTCTCTGTGCCTCTCTGAAAAGGAGCTAATTTTTATTGAAAAGGGCATAGAGCAAGTCCCAAGTACATTAACCACTCTATAATTGTTGAATCTCACATTGAATCCAAGTTTTTGTAAACATCGTGCAAACCTACGCGCTGCCTGTTTGGCAGCTATCTCACTAGTAGCACCAGTACAAGTTATTTTTCCCGATGACCAAATGCTGGCTGTTGTATAAGGTCTTCTAAGTTTCATAGTAACCATACCATTTTCTTTACGGTATTCCACATTTGCACCTGATAAAGCTATTTCGCGGAGATTTAAATGACACCTAACACTAAAACTACATACTACATTATTTATTACAATGTCTATTTCATTTTCTTCAATAGTTTGTTCTTGTTCATATTCATTGTTTTTAAGCTCACACTGTTCAACACTAGTTTCATCGATTTGAGATTTTTCTTCCTCAGTCTCATTGATAACTTCTACTTGTTCATAACCATTTATATTTTGTACCTGATGTACAAGACCATTGCCATTAGACAGTCCTTTGATACCATTTTTCTGGATAACTGTAGCCATGTTACAATTTCAGTTGAATCTAAAAATTTTAAAACTTGAGAGAATACACATTCCTGACCAGAATCAAATTTATTACATTGTAATTTAGGATTGCACAATTTTACTCTACTCTACTACTCTATTAATTTGTGAATGAGCTAAAAATCTGATAATTATCATCTGATAATTAATATAATACCTAAAGAGCCCTGTACCTACAGAGAGTACCATATTCCAAATTTAGCAAAGTAGGAGATAGAATTCAAGAAACTAGTATTTATACTGATTGGCCCAAAACAAGCAACTACTGATGATAAAATGATATATATATATTAAGACATAACAACCTATTAAAATTAGGTCAGCAAATTTATGATGATAAAAAAAGTTTAAATAACAACTGCAAAACATAAAAAAGATTCAATAAACATAATAAAAGCTATATATCTGGTAATTAACTCAAACCTCACACTTATCAACTTAGTACAGAATGTTGTTAATTTTCAATGTACAGAACATCTAAATACATAATAAGAAATAATTTAGAATATCACCTTAACTGAAAGTAATGATATGATTTAAAAAACAGCACTAAACTGATTATTCCATAGGCACCATTTAAAATTAAGAACATCTGAAAGAATTAACATTTAGAACTAAACTATTAATAAGCAGTACTGAAAAGTGTTAGTCTGAACTAAATAGGGCACAACACAAGATTGAAGATCTCCAAGCCAGACCTAAGAGTTGGTACAAAAATTTAACATCATGATCAAGTAGGTACAACAGCAGAAATAGCAGGACAATCCCTAATTAATGAAGATCTTGACCTAGAAGATCAAAACAGCATGTTTAACTTTTTGTTATTGTGATTATTTGAATTGCTTTGCCCATAGATCTACCTTGCTATTTTACTTCTCAAGAAACTAAGGCAAGGAAAAGGTAGAGTAGTATTCATTAATTGGAAGGACTCAAAAAAGGACATAATCAAAACCGAGATGGTTTATTTAATTTTTAATATAAACATTATTCAATCAATTACCTTCAAAGTTACACATGTATTTGGTTTTAAATCAATGTTAGACCACACAGGAAGTAAAAAGATCCTATATATCTAGTTGCAATTACTATTTACACGATTATTTAGGTTTAAACGCATGCTTTTAACTCCACAGTATTCGATAATGCATGTAGTAAACGATACTGTTACATTTGAGCTAATTATTTGGGTAATTTTAACACTAGCCTTTGTAAGAAGCCATGACACACCACGGTAAACTCCACTCTTCAATCTAAAATTGACTGATGATGGGATGGATGAAATGAAATTAGTTGCTAGCTCAGTTCTTTTTAGCTGAATGAATCAGATTGATTTGATAGTACTCAAACCATCATTATCTCTCTTTATCATTTGTATATTCTTGTGAAACAAACGCAGGGTAACCAACTTTAAAGTGTTCTTAGTTTAATGTTGTTGTCTATACTGTGGTTTAATTCAAAATACGTTCTATGACGTTTTGCCATAGACGGAGACACCTAGGTCTAGAGATGGTCGAGGTGGTCCAACAAATATTCGGATAAGAATCATGGAGAATATGCAATCTATTGTAGGTCGTTTATAGAGGATTGTAATAGGTCCAGTTTTTTTATGGGTCAATTAATTCGTTCATATGATTTTTGGGCATGACGCTAGCTGATATAAAAATGAGAATGAGAAAAATCTGGACTAATTATAATCATCCAAAATCGACCTTCAATAAATTACATATTCTCATTATTCTTATCCGAATGATCCGAATATTTGTTGGCCCACTACATGCCAGGTGTTCCATGCCATGTTCCCTTGCTCCTGTCCTGTAATAAGAAGCGTCTGTCGTGTCGTGTGTCAATATTTTTTCTTCGTGCTGTTGGTATCATCAATACCAGAGTAGAGAGTGGTGTGTAAAGTGTTAAAGAGTAAAACACTAAACACATAAATATTATCGTATTCTTTAGTTTTATGTTGAAAAAATAAGTTTAATAGAAAGTATCTTCAGTGTAACATATTTACAAACAAAAAACATGCATTGAACAAGTGTACTAAAAAGTACACCATGGATTTTCGAACTGTAATAAATAATGTAAGAAACTTTTTCAGTTCTCTTCAGTTTCAGCCCACCGGGTCTGAAAGAAATAGAAAGAGAAGGTAATTTGCTATTTATTTGTAATTTGGTATATTTTATTAAACTTTGAAATACATGGTTATTAGTATATAATAAAGAACAAGTGGAGCTTATAGCTCTCCAAAACTGATTAAAAGCAAAATATAAGACCCCAAAAGGGCTAAAAGCCCAAACTTTTAATTAGTGTTAGTAAACTAGTTATTTGTAAAAGCACAACAAATGTATCTCGCTTAAAACAAAGTAATATTAATAAAATGTACATTGTTTATTATTAATATGACAAAAACCACCAGACTAAACTGTTTTAAACTAAAAATAGGAATTAAATTATTTTCTTCACTCGAGAAAAATGTATCAAAAGTTAATAATAAAATAATAAGTAATTAACAAGAAATTGTTCTGAACACTATAAAAACTACATGTACAGTAAAACCTCCGTTAACTGAAATAATTGGGGGGAAAGCCGTTTTGGATAACAAGAATTTCGGTTAAAAATAACATTGTATTTTTATAGTATTCTTGGTTAAGGTATTGGTATTAAAAATTACTTATGTGGTGATTTCGTAATGTTTTCTAATAAGTAAATACAGAATAAAGTAATAAAATTAAGGAAAATGAACAAGTTTAACTTGCATTTTAAAGAAATTTTCTATTGCGTCATCGTTTGATAACGATGTTTTGCAGCTATATATCTCCATCGTTCATTTGCAGAATGTCGTGAGTTTGCCTCATTCCATCATTCAATGAAATGTAAAGCAATCTGAAAAGGACAAAACTTTATACAATTACAACAAAAATTAAGAACCTAGTCGTGTCCCTAACTAATTAGGCCTACTGTATAAAATCCTTATCCTTAAGGCATTGAAAATCTTGTCATGCCCCCTGTTGTCTGATGGGTCATCTAATATGCTTAGGTTGTCTGGACAAAGAACCATATCAATGATGTCCTGGTTGATGAATTAACTTTCTGAGTCATCGGCTCCTAACCACTCACATATCTCTTGGTTAATTTCGTCACATCACAGCAAATTTTTTATTAAAGGTTTAATTTCTTCTGTCGTTTCTTTACCATTTTCTTCTTCAGAATTGTCAATCAAAATTAAATAAAAATGTTAGTTCTAGCATTTTTCCAAAGTTAAAGAGTTTATCTTGGCCTAGAACTCAGCACACCTATAAACAACATGTTTCACTGTTGAAGATTTGAGAATTTCGGGAACACTTTTGGATTAATTCAGCTCCTGTAATAACACATGTCTTAAGAGTGCTCCTCTATAATGTCTCTTGAATATCTCTATTACTCCCTGGTCTAACAGCTGGATTAAGCTCGTGAAATTCAGTGGCAAAGATTGTGTAGATTTTGAGGGTGAGTTGGCGCATTGTCAACAAGCAACACTGCTTTGATGGGAAGGTTTTTTTATTTTAAAAAGGATTTTACACTTGGGATGAATTCATTTTCAAACCATTCTGAAAATAAAGTGGTCGATATACATGATCTTTTTTGGCTTCTATAAAAAACTGGAAGTGCTCAAATATCTTTTAGAGCTCTTAGTTTTTTTGATTTCCCAACACACGTCGGCATCAATCAATGAGTGAAATTAATGAAATTGTGTACGTTGTGCGATAAAAATTTACTTTTTATTGACGAAATTATTGAAACTGTCAGCTGTTTCGGTTAAATGATGTTTTGGTTAAAAAGGTTTCAGTTAAAGGAGGTTTTACTGTATTACACTTTCATAGTTCTCAAAATTAATGTAATTATTACTATTTATATTTTCAGTGCTTTGGATTCTATTGATTCATGTATGAGCCCTAAGATCAGAAGAATTCAGTCTATTAACTTAGATCGTAAGTAATATAAAATTTATATTGTAGTAAAATTATGTATGTAGTTTGCTTAAAATATTGCCATTGTATATTAAAAACATAAAAACTAGTAGGTATATAAAAAAATTTCAAATCGATCAGTCAAATTGTTTAAAAGTTATTTTGTTTGTTTATCTCTAATTAAATTTTTTTGCACCAATATAATTCAGAAAATAATTAATAACAAAAAATAAATTATTTAGTAACAATTTTGAAATTATTTGTATTTGAAAGTAGTGGTAAGTATATTTTGTATCCTTTTTAGGAGAGAATTATTATATGAGTCCAAAACCTTTGAGAAGACCGTCTGTATATAAAACTCCCCCTAGTATAAAAAAGATAGAATCAGTAGTTCTAGATGATGACGATGAATATGGTCTAATTAGTAGTAACAAATTAAATGGAAACACTCTCAGCAGTAATGCTAGGACTGGAAAATTTACTTCTACTCCATATGGTAACAGTTTTAGTAAAAAATCGGTAAATGGAACAGATAGTAAAGATGTATTATTTGTTAAAGAATTCAAACCATCCAGTGATGAAGATGTAACATTTGTCAAAGAACTCAAATCATCTGCACTAAAGAAAGCTGAGGCTCTAAGAAAAGGTAAAAGAAAATTTTTATTTCAGGGATTTAGTTTTACCATTTCTATGGAAAGTAGTTTTGGTTTTTATACATCAACCACTTTTATACAGTCCGAAAAATGAAAGATTCCCAATGAACGATCATATGAATCACTCATTTTGTATAATTTGCCGTCTTTTTATATAAATAACAAACATTTGTTATAGAAAAAGACTGCAAATACAAAATAAGTGATTGATGTGATCGTTCATGAGTAATATTTCATTTTTCCGACTGTATTTTATACAAGGTGTTTCAAAAAAAGGATACCCCGTCTCTAGAGTAGGTAAAAAACTGAAAAATAATTGGGGTTTGCTTAGTAAAAAATTTTTGTAACGCCATCCGTTTTCAAGATACAGGGCGTTGAAGAAAAAAAATTTACGCATTTTTTACGATTTTGCTGAAACTACTGGCAACATTGTAATGAAATTTTATACGAATATCGTAAAAAATGCGTATTTTTTTTTCTTCAACGCCCTGTATCTTGAAAACGGATGGCGTTACAAAAATTTTTTACTGAGCAAACCCCAATTATTTTTTAGTTTTTTACCTACCCTAGAGACGGGTAACTAACCTTTTTTTGAAACACCCTGTATATCGAGCATGCTTTTTTAAGTACGTAAACTTTTAAAATTCCACTGTTTCGGTCTGTGTTTCGCGCAAGAGCAGTGTGAGATATGTTTGATTAGAGCTAAATGCGTAAAAGCAGTTGAATAGAAAATGGCTTATGAAAAATGTAATGTCACTCAAATGAAATAATATTTACATGGATAGATTCGTCTCGAAATTACAATCATTTCATATAATTGCGCCAACATCATAGCGAGACAAAGCTATGTATCATATGTTAACGATGTATCAAATGGCAACGTTGTTAAATTACTGTAATGAACAGCTTCGAAACTTAAACTGTTAACGGTGAGTATACCTCGATGTCATATCTTGCACTAAGAAGTCATAACTAGTTTACTTTCTGTGAAAACGTGGTTTGAAAATAAATAAGTAATTTGTAAAATTAATTAAAGAAATCTATGAATCTACGATTTGATTGTGTGTATTACAAAAAAAAATAAATATTGCTACAAAACTAAAATTAACTATAAAAGGCCGGTAAAATGTAAAGAATTTGGCCATAAAGGAAAAGCGGTTCATACTTGAGACTTTATGAATATCATTTCCAAAATTCAAAAATATATTCTAGTTCACTACATACTACATACATCCAAAGTAACTTTTTTTAAAGACCTATCAAAAATAAAGTACTGCTTCAAGTTCTATTAAAATGGGCATTAGTATATATTATTATCTATAGAAACATTTGCTCTGCTATCAAAGTGTGTCTAAAACCAAAATACTTACATATTTTTTAATACATTTCTTTTCTCCATTCTTTTTTTTGCCTCTATTTTCAGGCGATGTGTTAGCGCTTGGGGATTTTATTAAATGAAGGGAAGGTATGGCATCATTTCTTAACTTCCACTGTTTATTAGGGAATCCTAATAGTTTTTCTTTTAAACAATAATCAGCTTCTGTAAAATGTTTTGAGAAGAAGAAATTTGTCTCGCTGAGGACACTTGGAAACCCATACTTTACGCATTTGTTTATCTCTAGGAAACACAAAAAAGGACACGTCGAAAAAGTTTTACTTTTTTTATTATTTTTTTTTACACAACCCACCACTGCACAATACATTATGGCAAACAAATAATTAGTCTTCTTTATAAAGTAGCTACAGGTAGTCGAGAGGAAGTTGTGTACGATAAACAAATTAGGTGATATTAACACAGTAAACTGAATGTTTTCACCACAAAATTTATATAATATACAGTCAGTTATATATATACAAAAATATATTAACTTGCCGTCATTAAAGTTGTCTCAGGCTTACGTCACAAGAACATACGCGTTGACTTATCATGTTTTGTTATAGTATCATGATTAAAATTTATGAAAATCACAATTTTGAAGTCCATAAAAATGTCATTCATAACCTAATATGTGTAGTCGCTATTGAAAACAGCTTAACCAGTGTGAGCTAATCCGATTGAAGGAACTATGTACTTTGGTAATGGTACTTTGCCTTAATACCCGCAGACAAATTTATGAACTGATGGTTAACAAAATCTCTTTTCTCACTCTATAGTGTATTTTTATGTATAAGAGAGTAATAAAACAATAAATTATGTATGCAAATCCCTAAACTGTTGATACGGGTGACTCAATGAAAAACAGATATTTGTCAACAGGTTTACAGAAGTATATAGGAAAACAATTTTAAATTGAGTATGACCACCAGGTATAAAGGTTGGAGCAGAATAGAATACAATAGTTGTGAGGGTTACTAATCCCTAAATAAGGTTGCCAGTGTCGGAGTGATGGAGGTTAACAGGTACTAATGAATTTGCAAGAAATGTAAGATGTTTATTTTATTGGTTATATATAACCAATAAAAGTTTAATAAGTATTTACCTATTTGCAAAATAAAGTTTAAATCTTTAGATAAAATAAAACGTTTTATTTTATCTGAAATGAGTGCATTCCATGAAGTAAGGGTTTCAACAATCAAACATTTAATTCTCTAATTCCAGGAATCTACGACAGTAATTGACTAGATAATTACCTTCTAAACTTATTCCACAGAAAATGTGATAGTGGGTTTTTCCATTTTGTAGGAAGGTCCAAGTGGCGTATTCAAAATTCTTAACAGTTCACTAAAAGTAGGTACTTCAGTTGCAAGGTGCAGTTTATTGTGTATACTAGTGTTATGGAAAATTTGGAAGTGCCGTGTAAACGCCGAAAAATTGGTCCTTTAACAGTTAATGAAAAAACATTAATATTTAATTGCTTTAAATCATTTACAGACAAACGTTTATGTGAAAGTGTTGATGAGACCGTTGAGTTAGTTAGCAGTACACTTGGTGTTGGGAAATCTACGATTTACAGAGTTATTAAAGAAGAGAAATGTGGTAGTTATCAAATGCCACGTAATGCTCCAGGGAAACCAAAATTTCAAATAGAATATCATTTTAAAGAAGGACTTCGACGGAAAGTGCATGAATTCTTCTTTAGACAAGAATTTCCAACATTGGATAAAGTTCTTGTCTCAGTTCGAGATGATAAGGATTACCCAGAAATGAGTCGAAGTACGTTATGGAAACTTTTAAAAGAAGTAGGCTTCCGCTGGAAAAAGAATCCCAGAAAGTCTATTTTATTAGAAAGAAGCGATATTGTCATATGGAGAAGACATTTTCTAAGAACCATAAAGGAAATGAGAAACCAAAAAAGAAAAATATTTTATCTTGATGAAACATGGATCAACAAGGGTCATACACCAAATAAATTTTGGCAGGATGAAACTGTTACAAGTCAAAGGCACGCTTTTGTAAATAACTTGTCTACTGGTTTAAACCCACCATCAGGAAAGGGACGCAGGCTGATAATAGTACACATTGGCAGTTCAGACGGTTTTGTTGGAGGTGGTTTATTAACTTTTGAATCAACTCGTACCGGTGACTACCATGAAGACATGAACGCTGATGTCTTTCAAGAATGGTTCGAACAAATGATAGATCTTCTTCCTAAGAACTGTGTAATAGTAATGGATAATGCAAGTTATCACTCCAGACTTATAGAAGGACTGCCCACAACCAAGTGGTTAAAAAAAGACTTGCAGAATTGGCTGAGTTCAAAAAATATTACGTACCATCCCGGATCTATAAGAAAGGAACTTTATTCGTTGTGTGCCCTTCATAAAGAAAAATTTAAAAAATACGAAATTGATGAAATTGCCAAAAATCGTGGAATGACAGTACTTAGATCCCCACCATATCATTGTGAATTAAACCCGATTGAACTGGTATGGGCACAGATAAAGAGTGAAGTTTCAAGAAAAAATACCACTTTTAAAATTCATGATGTTAAACAGTTGTTTTTGGATGCCGTAAATAATGTAAAACCTGAAAACTGGGAAAAGGCAGTAAATCACACTATTAAAGAAGAGGAAAAAATGTGGAAGCTGGACAATATTACTGATAAAATGATCGAGCCAGTTATTATAAATCTTGGTTCTGAAAGTTCATCTTCTGAATCTGATTTGGATTTGTAACAAGTAGCTGTAAATTTTATATTAATATTTTTATTCATCTATTTAACATACCTTAGACGGTTTTAAAAACTCTTTTTCTCTTTTGTAATTTTTAAAAATTAAAAAAAATGTGAATTTTTTAAAACTCTTTTTAATGTAGGCCAGTCAGTTCTAATATAGTGAGGTCAGTTCTAATATAGTGATAAAAGAGGTCACTTTTGTTTACATACACATAACACTTTATAACACTGAAATAATTCATTTATTTTTTACAATTATTAAAAGTAATTTTTCAATTAATCTTGAGCACGCCCATGGAGTGGTCGGAGGTACCAGTTAAAATTATGCTAATTACTCTCTCGTTCATAAAAATAAACTATAACTCAGGTACATATCCATTTGTTTTTAGATTTACTTAGTTATATTCGTTTACGCCGTTATTAATCAAAATTGAGAGTTGGCGCAATATGAAATTATTGAAATTTTATTGCATTTGAGTGACATTACATTTTCCATAAGATGGTGTGCAATCTTCTTTACTGTCAGATTTATGAAGGGTACAGACAAAAAATAATGAGCGATTTAATGATACGCAAATGAATAAAAGCTTTCAAAGATGGCTGAAAATATGTTCATGGCGAGGATCGAAATGGGCGATCCTCAGTGATCATTGAATATTTGAAGTGACGATTATTTAAACAAAATTATCACAGTAGATAAAACACAAATGGCCAACGTACTCTGAAGCAACTATAGTCCATCTAATCACATTTGACAATAGGTTTAAGCAGATAATTTCAGTCGGTTAGTCAAAAAATTTCAGAAAAAGGGTGTTGCTTGTTGATTTTTTGTGTCATTTTGACAGATAAATTCACAACAAATTTTACGAAATGCTGAAAAAGAGATCGTTTTCACGACAATATCTCATCACATGCTGTCAAACGAACTTAGGATCTCATCACATCACTTTTCATAGGAAACAATTTAATCATCGTACATAGACTATTGATCTAGCGCTCATTGACGACTACTAGTTTCTGCAACGAAAGAAGCATTGACGGCATGCGCCACGATGGCGAAATTATATTTAAAGTCACATGTTCCTTATTTGCACCAATTTGATACATGGTATTACGAATTTCAAATTTTCGTCCTTCTGACATATCGTAGGTACCTTTTGAGCGACGAGAGTTTTGCGGTGATCTTTTTCCGGCAGTTCACTGTTCTCATTGTTTATTGCAGATCTTAATGTGGATGTGCTAATTCTTAAAGCATCACACAAGCCTTATTGTACAGATTTTACTGATTTTGAATTGTTTTTTTACAACAATAAACAAAAACAACCACCGTAGAACGGGGTGACTTTTTAATTTTTTCCGTATTTTCTAGCGTAACTTTTGAATGGGCCATCCCAAAAATGTGGAAAAGTTACCATTAGAATGCATTTTATGTTTATTTAATTTAAATTGATAGTATATAAATATGTTTTCAAATTGAGGATTTTCTCAAAAAAAAAGTGTATATCAAAGTCACCCATTGATGTGGGGTCACTTTGATACCCCATTTGGAAATAATTTATTTCAAATCCTTTATAAAAGGTATATAATAAAATGCCAAAACGGGCTATCATAAATATATTACAAAACGTTTTCGGATTGTTAAATCCATCATCAGTGTAGACCTGAAAGTAAATAACCACTTTAATTAAAAAGAACGTTGAATTTAAAATGTTGACTACGGTAAAAGAAAATTGTGGTTAATACTTACGAGGTATCGATATTACCAATTCCAACGGTAACTTAAACATCATAATTTGTAACAACATATAATGTAAAACAACTGTAAATTTATATCATTTAAAGGGTTTTGACCCATATATTTTGGTGGCTCATAGCATGTATACCTCGTAAGTATTAACCACAATTTTCTTTAACCTTAGTCAACATTTTAAATTCAACGTTCTTTTTAATTAAAGTGGTTATTTTTTTCAGGTCTATGCTGATGATGGATTTAACAATCCGAAAACGTTTTGTAATATATTTGTGATAGCCCGTTTGGGCATTTTATTATATACCTTTTATAAAGGATTTGAAATAAATGTTTTGTGATATATGGTATACAGCCAGCTACAGGAACTTAGTTTCCTAGTGGACATTTGGAAATCCTTTCATTGTTATTGATTCTTTGACGATTTTAGAAGCTTATGTCTAGAAAGTTATTTGAAAATATTGTTTAAAATAATAAGACAATTGTTTTAGGATTAAACTATATACGACCATACAGTGGAAGTATTTCTAAGCCAAAAATAGTACAGAATGAACGACAGTTAAAAGAAAAATATAATTCATCATTCGCATTATTAAACGGTACTTCATCATCCAATATGAATTCTTCCATACGCTTAAATGAAAAAAAATTATATAAAGAGATACTGGACTCCACACAATTTTTTACACCTAGAACATCGTTTAACGATTCTTTGTTGACTAGAAGAGGTAAAATAATGGCTGCAGCTTTATCGCCCATGTCTACAAAAGATAGAATTAAAAAGGTATTAAACGATTTTGATAGCGATCCAGTCGTAATTAAGGATTCAGATTCTGATTCTGACATTGTTATCGTCAATCCTCCTTCACCGAAGCCTGATATTAAGGTTGAACCAGTCAATAGCCTAAAGAACATTATCAATTTTCCCGAGCAGAGCAAGAGTAAATGGTTAGATGATATGTAAGTAATGTTTTATTAATAAATAATAATTTAAATGGGAGTGAGACACAATGCTTTACTTCGGAAATGTCGTGATTTGCGGTTGTTTACAAAGGATCCTATACAACAGGTTCTTGTTAACAAGGTTTAGTTTTTTATTTTATTTAAAAATATTTTCGTTTATTTTCCTTTTTTGGAACGTCGTCTGTTATCAAGCGGTCACAGTCAATTGGCTTATTGTATATCTTCCCTTTATTTGCGATACCCGTTCCAGAATTCGGAAACCCGTTAGCAGCTTGTACGTTTAGTCGATGAGCACCATATGTTTTTTGAGTCACTAGGTAGTCTCCTAAAAATGTGTGCCGCCTGAAATCTAGTGTCTCGCAGTCATGGTCGACTGTTTCAGATTCTCTTCTATCGAGTCTGCAGTTTAACTCCATGGAACAGCCTCATTGTATACAGACAGGTATTCCTTCACGGAGCATGACTAAATTAGGAAGCCTGTGATGATTTTGAGCTGATTTCTGATTGCTTGAGGACAGTGCTATTTGGTACTGGCTGTACCAAAAAGCACTGTCCTCAAGTAAAAAAAAAGGATATTGTCTCTCGGTAAGAGAATGTCGCTGAATTGACATATGCGGAATAGGTACCGTCGTACCGTCCTATACCCTGTGATAAGGTATGACGGGCCGCATGACAGTGCTTATGATAAAATCATATGACAAATCACACAGTGTAAACATGGAAATTTGACTTCATGACCAAATCATATGACAAATCTCATGATAAATCATGTAGTATAAAGTTAAGTCACTTAAGGTGACATTAGACCAAGTCGAATTCTTCTTCCCACCTTTTTCTCCACTATCTTGTTTGACAAGAAACAAAATGAAAAAGAAGATATGTCAATCAAGCTTGTTTGTCAGTTTAAATTTGTTGTTGTTTGTTTGTGTTTAAATGACTGCGGACACTAAATTCATTCGCCAGATCAGTTTAAATAATTAAGTAGTTATTTTATTTGTGTTTGAAAAATTAGCCTAGCATTATTGGCATAATGGGAAATTTTTTAAATAAACTATTTCTTCAATTAGAATTTTATCTATACTGGTGAGTTTTAAAATATTTAAATCCATCTAGCCATTTTAATCCTTAATTATCCTTAAATAATTTTTGTTTTTATCACACGCTATTTAACGAAAATTTGGCCCTTATACAGTGTGTATCAGCCAAATAGAATAAATTCGATTACAAATAAATAAAAGAGGGGCGTGTTCGAAAAACCGCTTGTATATGTCGATCCAGTATTTTTCTAACAAAGACTCGTGTGTTACGTTGTCGTCAAAAACAGTTGTCGATACCACCTTTTTTATGTTAAATACAACCTCCTGCATATTATCAAATTTTTGGATTTTTCAGAACATTGTAGACATATTTTATGGACAAGCCAATGTGTCATATACTTAAAATGCCTGTGGCGAACACCCTGGCTACATCCTAATCTTAAATAGAAGTTTCGCTCAACATTAATCAACATTTACGATGTGACCAAGCTAATAGCAAGTGTTATGTCTTCTTAAGTAAGCTAAGTCTTCTTCTTCTGATGTTAGATCCTTTGATCTGTTCTTAGACTGTATCCCGACCGATTTTAAACTTGTATTCATAGCTGTGACATTGACTGCCAGCTATCTTGCCACCTTTTAAAGAAAGAGTCTTTCTAGTGGTATCTTGCCTGTTGGTTTTGAATCTGTTGCTATTCTGGCTATTCTCTCTCAGTCCATTCTTGTGACATGTTGGTTCCATTCTCGTCATCTCTTCCCCAACGTACTATGTCGTGTATGTTACAGAGATCTCTTATTTGACCGTTGGGTATTTTATCTCTTAGTTGTTTCCCAGTTATTGACCTCAACATTCTCATATCTGATGTTCTCAATATTCTCTTGGTTTCCACTGTGTCGGCTCTTGTTTCTATTGCGTAGGCCATTATTGGTCTTACATACGATTTATATATACATACTTTCCCTTCCAGCCTCATATCTTTATTTCTCCAGATTACAACTCTCAGGCATCCTGACACATGACCCGCTTTGTTTACCTAAGTTCAGACTTCTTCTGTTAAAGATTTGATAGAAAGGTTTCCACACAATGTTATATTACAACCATAACTATGAGCAAACGATTATCTTTAGTCTTTTACAGGATAATATCACTGGCAATAAAAAAAAATAAAATATTAATTTAAATATTATTCAACTTCGTAAATAAATTCATTGATTTATTTTGAAATAACCTTGATAAAAACAACAACAAATTACCTTGAATTACAATAAAAAAATAATTAAAGTTTAAATCAAACAATAAAATTACCTTAAAATATGAACATTTATAGTAAATATCTTAATACTTAAGCAAAAGTCCTTATTTATTCTTCAAATAGTACAAACAATATTTCCAACTTTTTATGAGACAAATTCACACAAATTAGAAATGTTTGGAAAGGTTTTTAAATGGCCCGTCCATTGTGTCGTCAGACGTAGGTAGTCAATTCGTGGCTAAGCATTAGCCTTTCCAGGGTTTTAAATATTATATTCATTTGATATCAAGTGAAGATTTTTCGTAGACCAATATTGTCTTCCAATTAGCTTATGTAGCCAAGTTGCCAAATGTATGCGACGTTATGTGGAACCACAAAATAGCCTTACCGGACAAATTTTACAGTACCCACAATTTTACCCAAAATAAAGCATTTTGTACATTTCAAGTGATTTTTGTAAAAGAGGGAGGTAAGTACTCAATATTGAACCATTTTTTTAAATTTAATATTAAATAACAAATTCATAAATTTACTTGTACTAGTCACAGTATTTCGTTTTTATTTTATTTTGTGAATACTTGAAATTTATGAAAGTAGATACTTAAATCTTTATTATGAAATAAATCTTATGCAGTATCGATGAGTACTAAAACATTCGGTTATATTGAAAAGTATACAAAAAATTTCATTAGTTTTGTTTGAAGTTCTAGACGGATAAGATTTTAAAAAATGGTTCAATATTGAGGACTTACCTCCCTCTGGTATATTCATCTCAACTCTCTTTCATAAAAATCACTTGAATTATAAAAATAAAAAAAATACCAAATGTAGTAAAATCTCACAACTTATCGCAGCCAAAACGTATTACGAAGTGGGTGTTGTAAAATTTATTTGGTAAGGTGGTGATTGTGTCACATGACGCCATATATAACTATCTGGATAAAAAACAATCCGCCCGAAATGCTAGTTTTTCAAATTTCCATTTTGGTCAACTTTTACGTAAAATACCATTCTGTGCGACGTACAGTTGTCTATGTTCATAAATCTGGTTTGGCAATAAAGCTTGTTCTGTTTGTCTTCAGTCCTGCTCATTGTTATAGTGAAAACTGTCTAAACACTGACATTGACTAAGCTTGAATGGGTTATGTGTGATTGCGCGCGCGTGCGTGTGTGTATGTGTATATAAATATACTATTTAACACTAATCTAAGTTTAATCAACAGGATAAGTGATCACCAACAACGCGCAGCTGCTAGGCAACGCGAGCTTCAGGAACTCATGGGTTGTTCGCAACAACATGAAAAAATAAATAAAGATTTGCATATAGAATTACTTTCGAACAAAATCAACAATGCATTAAAAATTAAAGAAGCTTTGATCCCATTACCGGAAAAGGAACCAGAAGTCGAACTACCGCCTTTATCCGATGAACAACTTAAAAAGGTCAACAGGGCCTTTAAGGGCGATCCCAATGAAGTTCTGAGTAGAAAGTTTAACCTCAACATTACGCGACGAGACCTATTAACGTTATCAGGTTTAAATTGGCTGAATGATGAAGTCATCAATTTTTACATGAATATGATTATAGAAAGAGGAAAAGATTCTAGGTATCCATCATGCCATGCATTTAATACATTCTTTTATACTAAATTACTAAAAGATGGCGCAGAATCTCTGAGAAGGTGGACCAAAAAAATTGATATTTTTGCTTGTGACATAATATGCATACCTATACATTTGAGTATGCACTGGTGTATGGCGATTGTCGATATGCGAGCCAAAACGATCAAGTAAGTATTTTATCTTTACATATAGCGCGATGCAAGTTATAATATGTAGGTACAATTAATTCCCAAAATTTATGACAATCCAAAAGTAGACAGGGTCCACAAAAGTAAAGAATAATTTTGATAATGCAGGTACATGTGTCTGTAATCACTAAATTTTATTAATACAGATATATAAACAAAAAATTGTGCAGCCTTACCAATAATACTTGATTATTCTATTCATCAAACTCTATACTATTTTTTTTATATTTGAATGTATAAATAATAAAATAATTTTATAGATAAAAATAGAAGACTGCTTCTATTGTACTGAATACATTATTTTAAAAATCATTGTTCGAGTTTAATTATATGCAGAAATGGCAGATATTGATTGTTAAAATAACAATAACTGTAAATTATAAAATTTTCTCGTCAGACTCTAGTTATGTCCCAATATATCTGTCTCAGAGGCCCGCCGCAAATTGAGCACAGCCCACGCGTGGCTTATTTTGTAAAACGTGGTTGTAGACGGAGCAACGCATATTAAACCCAAACCACAGCCAGGCTACTGCCAGACTTGGTTGGCGTGGATAGAGTTGTGCTAGCAACACAGTTTCGTGGGTCGTGGGTCTCTACTTAACCTTAGTTATTTTGTTTTGTGTGACCAATTTTTTGTTATTCAGTGAAAATGGAAAAGTTTATTGAAATTGTTCGAAGCTTTAGTGTCTTGTATGATACTAGTAATGAAGATTACATGAGAACAAAACTAATATTTTCTTTATTTGTGCTAAGCGACTCGGATGTAAGTCGCCGTTATAATTATTCAAAAAATAATAATTTAAATTTATTTTTTATTAAATCAAGTGAGAAATATAACAAATCGAGAACTAAGGAAAAAAAAAACAAATTTTCATTTCCTAGCAAAAAAAATGTTTATGAACACGTAAGATGAAAACTTCAAAATAAAATTTGATGGTACTTTTTCGTGATGCTCATATTGTAATGGCTTTTATACACTGAAATTAAATTAAAAAAGAATATGAAGAAAGTAGAAAAATAATAAACAATTCTCAAATTTAAATTTATCTCGAAAACAAAATACGATCTGGAATTTTTGTATTCTTTTAGCTCTTCTGTTGTTTATTACGTTATTTCACTTATTTCAACAATACTCTATAAAATCTGCCTGGTATGCTAATTAGTAATTAGAAAGTCAATATCGGCAAAACCAGCTTATTCAAATTATGGGTATCTACTTGTTATAGTCTTTTGTTGAAGGATTTCAATTTTATACCCTTAGCATTTGTGAAAGTTTTAAAGATATTTATATTTTCAGATTAGAAATTGTTAGTGGGATATTAGGTAAAAATTAAAAGGTCTTTAGAAAATAAAATCTTTATTTAAACTAATATACTGAAGACAGTCTATCTTTTCGTTGAATGGTATTTGCGAAAACAATCTCCTATGCACAGTCCAGCTTTTTCGTCACAATCAGCACACTCGTAAATTGTGTTTTTCCTAATTTTATGGATAGAACATATTCTACAAAAATATTTGACATGGGCGTGGGCTGTGTTCAATATGCGTTAGTATTGAAAAACGTGTACTTGGACTAGGTTGGACCATACGTGGGCTGCGCGTGGGATGTGCGTGGGCTGTGCTCAATTTGCGCCGGGCCAGAGACTTGTGCCACGTCGTACGTACTGATTTTCTACGTATACCGTTTTAATGTCTGACAGTGATTAATACATTTTTTAATAGTCATAAAATCGACCACTTTCACCCGTCAGACAGAAAAATCGGAAAACAAGTTCCGTCAGACAATATGAAAAGTTGTTTTTGCTGCGGCTAATGAAATTATCCTGAAAAAATTTGCTGGTTATCTAAGAATTTCGTCATAGTATCCACAAGGAATCTACGTTCCTGTAGTTGGCTGTATACCATGTATTAAAAATTTAATTAAAAATCCTTTGTAATAGGTATATATTTTAGGCCCAAACGGGCTAAGTTAAAAAGACAAAACGTTTTCGGAAACCATGTTCCATCATCAGTGTCTAGGAGTACATGAATGTAGCCACCAAGATTAAATATGAGATGGCCCAACGTTAAATTAATCAGAAAATTAAATTTTAGAGAACAAAAATAAAGGCGCCTTTACTTTTATTGACATCTACAATTCTTCGAGGTGTAGTTTTTATCAAGTTCTGACAAAATTCTAATGTATACGAATCCCATATTTTTTGCAATTTTTTCTTCAATTCGTTGACGGACCTGGCAGGATGCTTTCTCGAAGCTTTTTTCATTTCGCGCCACCAAGTCTCTATCAGGGACAAGTCGGGATTGTTAGAAACCCATTCCAGAAGTGGTATTCCATGGTCGTCAATTCATTTTAAACTTTTTTTGAGGTATAACAACCTGCTCCGTCCTGTTGGAAGACAAAATCTTCCGCTGATGTTAAACGGTGTTGCATAATCGGTAAAGCCGGAAGTAATCCGGAGATGTACGTGCCTGTTACTAGCACAATGACATGCCAGTACTTAGCAAGCACCAGCTACTGTCTCCAAACTGACATGTGCGAACGCGCGCTACCGCTACGGGCATTAAACTTATTAATTTAAAAAATGGTTTGTTGGAGTGATGAAAAAACCATTAAATTAATTGCTATATATAGAGAATTATTATAGTGTCTGTGCACACCCAAATCCCAAATTTTTCTCTTTTGAGTTCAGCTTCGGATTCATTATTAAATTTCTAACAATATCCGTGGTCATCAGCTATATTTGCTTGTTTAATTCATTCCGAATACCCTATTAATTACAAAACAAGTACTTATGAAAACCACTCGATTGTTTACTAGCACTGGCATGTGTAAAAATCTAACCTGCCTTTTCGCCTTGCCAGTATAGGCAAGCGAGCTACTGGCATGCAAATTACCAGCAAATGTCTTTTGCGCTTTCCAGTTACTGGCCTATGCCAGCAACTGGCGTGCCAGCTACTTTCCCAATTTACTGGCATGTGTATACCCGGCAAAAAAATGTGTATAAAATGCGGCATGTGTATAAAAAAAATATACACATGCCTGTTACTAGCACAATGGCGTACTAGTATCTAGTAAGCACCAGCTACTGTCCCCAAACTGGCAAGTGTGTACGTTAACTGACATACTAGCTAATGGCAAAGAATTTGATTTTTCTTGCTAGTAGAATGCTGTGAGATGCAAGGCGCATACGTGGGGAGTGTCACTGGCATGTGTGAACGCGCGCTACCGCTACGGGCATGACTGTAGCTAACAGCGAATTGTCAGATTTGTTGTGTTGGTGATAAAAATTAATCGTTTTATTTTTAAACTTGTTAATTTAAAAAAATGTTTCGTTGGGGTGATGAAAAAACCATCAAATCGATTGCTATATATAGAGAATTTTAGTGTCTTTTGAGTTCTAAATCATCTCTATATAAAAATAAAATAGCCCTTGACAGTGCACAAAAATTCAAGAGGAAATGGGTGAAGGTATTACTGTAAAGGCCAAAATAAAAAATTGCTCGAAGATTTTCTCGCCTACCAATCCAATTTCCCACGCAAATTTTTTTCTCTTTTGAGTTCAGCTTCGGATTCATTATTAAATTTCTAACAATATCTGTGGTCATCAGCAATATTTGCTTGTTGAATTCATTCCGAATACCTTCCATGGATCCCCTTTTGTTTTGTTGAAAACTCAAAAACTTTTAATTACAAAACAATTACTTTAGTTTCAGATGAAAACCACTCGATTATTTACTAGCAATAGCATGTGTAAAAATATACCCTGCTTTTTCTAGCTAAGAGTCTAGTCAAGCGAGCTACTGGCGTGCCAATTACTATCAAATGTGGTTTGTGCTTGCGAGTTACTGGCCCATGCCAGCAACTTAGGCTTCATAAATTACCATAAAATAAGGAGATTTAGTGAATGAAATTGAGTTATCATTAATACCATTTTAAGTTTATATTCTTTACGGAGTCTACTCAGTTTATTTGCAATTTTTGTATTTCAAAGTATATGTTATAACATAGTATGTTCTTATGTAATTTATTTAATTTATTATAGGTATTACGACAGTATGGGTAATAGCAACGACAAGTGTTTAAATGCAATTAAAGGATACCTCGAAAAAGAACATTTAGATAAAAAGAAATCAGTGCTGGATACTTCAGACTTCGAATTAGAAAATGTTACAGACATTCCACAACAAATGAACGGTAGCGATTGTGGAATGTTTGCCTGTACTTTTGCTGAATTTACTACAAGAAACGCCGCAATAACGTTTAGTCAAGAACATATGCCCTATCTGAGAAAGAAAATGGTTGTAGAAATATTGGCGGGAGAACTTTTGATAAAGTGATTACATTTTTTGTGTGTAATTATATTATTTTAATTTATTATTAAATTGAAAACTAGATTTTTTAAATTTAAGTATATCATTTTTTGTAAGTAAACTTTATAAAATGTACTTGTTTTTCTGTTTATGTGATACTAACCTCTCATGTATAAAAATTACTGACCAAACAAAACAAAATTAATCGAAAAAACCTGTTAGTGAAATTAAATCGCAAGAATTTTAACAAAAACATTTTAGAACCCCCTTTACATGTAGCTCACTTCCGCGGCAGTGAACAGGGAAGTTCATACCACTGCCGTACGCCCCCTTCGTTGGCGGTTTTTTTTTAATGGAAATGAAAGGACTTGCATTGCAAGTGACAGTGACTGTTTACATTCTGCTCTTTGTCTTGTCGGGCGAGGCATTTGTTTGGTAAATTTTTCGTTAAATATGGTTGAGTGGGGTAGTGACCAAGCGTTGAAGTTTTTAGAACGCAATACAATTCTCACAACCGATGCTAGCAACCCACTGCGGACCGGATAATCTGCTGGTGCCAATATTATAGTGGCTCCTATGAAAAGAGAAAAATTTTACGAGCATTCTATGTGAGTGAAAGAGGTAGAGCTGTATTATATATTTAGTAATATGTTTAAATGAGACTATTTTTATTTTAGTTTATTATCTAAAATAATATTTTGATTGTTTCGTACGTTTAATTAATTTATTGACAATGAATCAAATTAGTATTTTAAAAAACTCTTTTGGTGGTTGAAAAAACTGTTTTGTTTGGAGGTGACGAGACTTGGTGAAACAAAGGCATCAATGATCTTGCATATGGCAGAAAATGAAAGCCTATGAAAAATCTAAAATGCACAAGGATAATGTTTTTAGCTTTTCAATGCTTGCTAAGTTAAATATAAAAACCCAATTAAATTTAGCCTATCGTGATACTCTAATTAAACACAATGAACAGGTGGAAAAGAATCGATATGTCTTGACTCAAATCATAAATTGTATAAGGTTTTGTGGAGATTTTGAGTTAGCTCTTAGAGGTCACGACGAAACCAAAAATTCAGATAACAGACATATTTAAGGAACTGGTTAATTTTAGCGGCGAACTGAACAACAACTTGAAGGTTCATATTCAAAGTTCTTCCTTAATTGCAAGATGGATGTTTACGACGAGGAAATTAAGAAGAAATTAAAAATTCTCCTTATATTGCAGTGATTTCCGATGAAACAACAGACGTTGCTTGTGAAATTCAATTACAGTTTTCCGATATTTGTGTAAAGGACGACCAGTTGAGAGATTTTATGTGCTAGACGGACATTATGTAACGTCCATCGCTGAATGCATTTTAAATTTCTTATTAAAACATAGTCTGAACAAATTAATTGATCAAAGTTATGATGGCGCATCTGTTATGAGTGGTGGATTAAATGGTGTGCAAAGAATTATTAAGGAGACATATTCTCTTGCAAATTACGTTCATTGCTATGCACACCAAATGAATTTAATTATGACAAGTGCATGTTCTATCAATAAGCAGATTAGGCTATTTTTTTCTAATTTCTATACGTCTCCTCAAAGAACAAAAATTTTGGCCGAGGTGGTTAGTCGCAGGTTGCCAAAATCTTCCCAAACACGTTGGAATTTTCAATCACGGGTTGTTCAAACTGTTTATGAAAATAGTAGTACTTCACGTGATTTGTCATCCATTAATCAAGCAAATGATTATAAATTAAAGCTCCAGGATAAACATTTTGTATTTTGGCTATTTATTTTTATTAAAATAATTCCTCACATTGAAATTATTTTTCAGTCAATTGCAAAAAGTATGTATTGATTCTGTAAAAAAAAAGAATTGGAGAATTTTGAAGCAGTAATTCAAGGTATAAGGTAGCTAATGGACGTCATTATTAATAGTATTCAAGAAGAAATAATCACGCCACAGAGACAAGCAGATAATGATGAACGAATAAAAAAACGCGCGAATTGAAGAGTACAGGACCAGCAGAAATCGGGAAGCATTAGAGATACGCGATGCAGTTTTGTTACAAATAAAAACCTTTTAGGTTTACCTTCTCCGGACATTTAGTTGTTTCTAATTTATTTATGTCAGAGAAGTTTTCCGTTTATCAGCATCATCTTCCCGAATTATTTATTAATAAAACATGCAAATAATTTTTAAACAAAACTCGGCTTAAAACTGACTTAAAAGTACTGTATCAGTGAGACGAATTAAGTACTCGGTTATGACATCTGGGGCTGTGCCGCTATTAGTTTTATTAAATGATTAAGGTTTAAAATGTACATTTGAAGAAACTATTAAACTAAGTATATTAATTACCATTCCTGTGTCCACATCTGAAGAAGAACGTTGTTTTTCGATGCTAAAACGAATTAAAACATTCCTTAGAAATACCATGAAGGAAGAACTAAATGACATTGATAATTTTAATAATAAAGTGATTGAAAACTTTGCAACCAAAAAAGAAAGGATGGATTTCATACATCGGAAACTTTAAAAGTGATATTAATCAACATTATGCGTGTGTTTAATTACTGGAATAGTGATATTTTTATAATTTTGTAAATAGACTTTAGAGACTAAATCGTAATAACAAATTTCAAGTACATCAGCAGTAAATACTGGTGGTAAGTTGAGTTTTTTTTTATTATTTAACTATTTTGATAAATTGTGGTCAATTTCTTGGCACCCCAGAAATAGTAGTAGAAATAGTAGATACATATATAAGGTAAAAGTGCCTATTTGTTTTTAATTTGTATTTTATATATTTTTTGACAATATTATGAACCCGTCACTAAAAATTTAGGCCGTTGCCCGAACTCTGGCACTACCTTCTTAAAGTGATACGAGCCGCCACTGCAGAGGCGAGAAAAAATAAAAGCGACAGATCACACGACCACACTACGTGGAGTAGTGTACGCAGTCGCGTTAATTAATGGAATCAAATCGAATGCACCCAGGCTGTTCCGGACTCCCATATCTGCAGGGGCTCCAAGTCTGAGTTCTTCCTGCCGTTCTGAACGTCTAATCCTTTAGTGGCCTGGCAGAAAGTCACAAGTCTCTTCAAGAATACCAAATAAAAAATGTAAAGAGATTATAATTTTAAGAATTTCAGGATATAAAGAAAAAATCAAAATATGATTGATTTATTAAAAACAACAGAGAAAGTAAAAAATATAACAAAAATAACAATTTTCATAAAGGGCATGCGATAAACGTAAATTTAAAAAATTATTTTAATCACTCTCTTCAGATAATTCGGCATCTTCTTTAGGAATTAAAACTGTTTTCTTACGCTTGGCAACATATCCGGGACCTAGTTTTGATTTTCTGTACACTTCAATGGCTTTAATTTTGTTTCTTAACGAAGTTGATTTATCCCTTAATCGTTGATGAATTACATCTTTAGTGTGTAAACTTTTTATAGGAACAACTTTTTTGGGCTTTGGTTTTTCCTCTAATACCTTCAAAACGTCTGTATTAATTTCTTTTACAATTCTAGCAGAATTCGAAGTGGTCGCTGTTAAAATTTTAATATCTTCATCTTCTTTTAGTTCTTGTGGTATATATTCGACTGAGGAGACAGGTTGGGGAACAATTTTCGATTTTTTTTGTACAGGGTTATCGATTTTTATTTTCATTAGCTCGTTTTTTCGCTTTCTTCTGTTTTTCAGCTCTAATGCTAGATTTTCATAATCTTTAATGGCTTCCATTTGATCCAAAGATTTAGAATTACTCTCTGACTGTGATTTCTTATTAGACACTTTATTTTTGGTTTTGGGTTCTATTTCAGCCTGTTCTGAATCGTTATTTCTTTTCTTTCTTGGAACCGGCTTTCTCTTTCCTTCTTTAGTTTGAGCAGTCTCTTTCCTCAACTTCTCTTTTTCGTTGTTTAATTCTTCTGATGAATGTGACGTTTCATTTGGTTCTTTTCTTTTCTTTACGGTTCTTTTTATATGACTACTGCTATTTTTTTTATCTTGTTGGTCTTTCACAGTATCTTGATTTGTTACTTCTTTACTTTGATACTCAATTTGGTCGATATCAGTTTCCTTAATATCTTCGTTATTTTTACATGATTTTTCGATGTTTTTCTTTGATTTTGATTTGCTATTCTTACTAAATGATCGCTTTCCTGTGGCTAGTCGTTTTTCCTTTTCCAATTCGACCATTTCTTCAGCTATTAATTCATCTTGAGTTTTACCAAATCGATCTATTGCAGATTTAACTCTTTTACTTACTTTTCCTTCTATATTTAAAGAATCCACTTTAAACTTGGTTTTGAAGTAGTCTTTAATAGATTTTTGACTGTGGTTTTCTTCTAATCTCTTAATTATAGGATTTAATATTTCTTCGGTTTTTTTCATGGTCCAACCAAATTTTTGTTCTGCAAAAATGGTCAGACCTATAATATCAGGTTTACTCCATGAAAACGGGTCTTTGCTTGTTTCTATTTTGGGGTCCAAGTAAGCTTCGATAACTTGAGGATTAGGGAAGTGGTCTGCAAATGTTATATTCTTTAACTTATTTTTTAGAACTGATCGACCTGGACCTCCTGTTTTACCCTTTAGATACCAAGACTTAAACTCTTTAAGTCCAGAGAGTAATTGGTGGTGTGATAAGGTAAATTCGTGTTGTTCAGATGGAGGGAAACTGGCTAATATTTCCAACGCAGTGACAGGTCCCACTCCTTGTATACCAGTCGTATAATCGCTACCCACCAGAAATGCCAATAAAATCATCTGAAGCCTAGATAATTTGAAATGGTGTTCTATACTTTCTGATTTGAACTCCATAACGTATTTACTTTGATTGAAAAAATTTTTGTAAACTGTTTTACCACCAAATAACCAAATATCACTATCATCCGTTATTGTACCATTTGTAAGTTCTATTTCGTCTAAAAATGCACATTGTGCTTCCGCTTCCATCGGAGCTACTACATATGGTACCCCAAATAGCTCTAATAACTCCTAAAAATAAAAAAAATAGTATCAAAAACTAACCAAAGAATAAAAGTGAATTCTCTAATAAGAGCAAGTATCATTTTCAGAATTTTCGTTAGTAAAAGCCTATGTCGTCTTAGACAGCCTAAATTTTAGATAAAGTTTAGCATAAAGGTTTAAACTACAAATTCACAACATTGTTACCCAAAAATCCTAGAATCATAACTGTAAATGTGAATGTAGCCCCTTGGCTGTATTCTCTAGACATCAATCCATAAAGGATGGACTCAGTCAAGGGGATGCCTTGACTTGCCTCCTACTTAACATTACCATTAACCAAAGATATACGACGAGTGGATAAATCTTGCAACGATACCAGGATATTCCAATAGAATTCGAAGATATAAATGATTTATATTTTAAAGGGGGCCAAATAAAACATTTTGATGGTAATCTTCTGTTACTACTTCTGAATTTGACAAACTTTGAAATTCAAACGTAAGTTGTGAAAGACAATTTTCAAAAGTAAATCTTCAAAATGGTTGTGTGAATTTTACACCGTCAGAAATAATGGTTAAAACTAGAAATACAACAGATGCTCATCGAAATGGACTGTCACCCAACAAGATGGTCGGACGACATCAAGAGCTCAAGACCGGAGGCAATGAAATTATTTACATCAAGCCTATGTTCAGCAATGGACTCAACATGGCTAATGGTGATGACGATATTTTCTAATTACTATAATTTATTAATTACTATGTATTTGTTGAGAAAATTGTAAACTACAACAAATAAAATATTCATGGTGTTTGACATTAATGTAAGATAGGCTTAACGTAAACCTGGTAACTATGTCAACTATGTCAATGTCAAGTCAACACCACTTCCCAACGGGGACAATGGACGACATGATCATGTTGTAATGTATGAATAATATTAATATATGTTCAGCCGATACAGTAGTTTAATTGAGACCTTATTAACATACTTTAAACACATGGAACTATATTTACCTGAGCCTCCTGATACATTTGATCTGTTATATTGTTTGCCAATCTTTCTTTGTTGGATTTTTCTTTTAGAAGATCTATTTTTTCACGTTGATATGTATCTTTTAATTGTTGCATTTCTTCTACTGTTAATTCGGGAATTTTTTTATCATTAGGTGGATTCTGAATATGTTCTTTATCGTCAGTAATTACTTTATTTGCATCTACTTTTAAATCTGTTATATTGGTAGTTATATTTTCATCATTAGCTTCTTCAATTATTTCTTGCATCTTACTTGCGTTTGAATCATCTGCATCTAATGATTCTTCTGATTTATTAACAATTTCCTGAATGTACGAATCACTTTCAGATCTGCTTGTGTTGTGCGTCTCGGTAGAAGTATCCTTAACATGATTTTCAACATTTTCCAATGACGGGTCTGGCACATTTACATCGAGTATCTTATCCTTGCTACAAGTAGAAATAGAATTATCCATTTGATCATCAGCTTGTTTATCAAAAATATCATCAAAAAGATCATCAAGACCATCCTGCTTTATTTTATTTGGATCTATCACAATTTCAATAGGTTGATGAAGAATGCCATCATCTGAATCTCCACTATCTGACATAACTTCTACTTCATCTTTAATGACCTCAGATTTCTCAATAATTTCTTTATTAGTTTGAATTGATTTTTCTGGATTTTCTACAATGTCAATGGTCTGCTGCCCATCATTTGAATCTCCACTATCTGACATAACTTCTACTTCATCTATAGTATCAGATTTCTCAATAGTTTCTTTATGCGTTTTACTTGATTTTTCTTTAAAATCATCTACATTCTTAATATTTAGTTTAGATTCTTCTACTCTAGTTTTTGGTACGTCTACTACAGTTTCCGAAACAGCTAAAATTCTTTTTTCGTTCTGTAATGATTTTATTGAATTACTGTTCATCTCATTTAATTTGATATTCTTAAAAGTTGGTTTCGAAGGAGCTTTTTTATTTGTCATCAGAATTCTATCTATTTCTGCAGGTGTTAAACCACTATACTCCATCATATAATTTTGAGCTGAAGACATCTTTTTATGTAACGCTTTTTTGGATTTCGGTGTTGGCAAAAAATCATCACCTGAATCGGATTCAAAATCTTCATCATTGAAATTGTCTAAAAATGTATGCTTGGCGTTTTTGTTTTGAATTGATTGATCACCTTCAAGAGATAACTGAATAGCCAGCTTTAGCTCCTCTTCTTCTTCTATATCAGCTTTTGATTTTTTATGTATTTTTGGTTCTTCAATTTTAGACGTAGAAGGAATCTCCTCAAGGGATAATTGTATGGCTTTCTTTAGTTCTTCTAAAAAGAAAGAAAAAATAGGTTAGGTTAAAATTAGATTCAAAGTAATATTAAATTTGGAACTAGATTTTATTGTGCCATTGAAATCAACGTTTCGGCAGGTAACTCTTGCCTTTGTCAAAATTCTAAAATGTACAAGATTAGGAACATCCATTTATTGTAAAATATATAAAAAACTTACCAAAACGTAAAACAGAAGTAAAAATTGATATCTGATATCTCATGGTTTACTGTCATTAATATATAATTATTTTATATGGGCGTATTGTTGGTGTTTTCGAAAAAGGTAAAGTGAAGATATGTTATAACTTATGAGTCTTTTATGGTGTTATATTTATTATTATTTAAATCAGATTCATCATCATCAGTGGTGCTACAGCTCTAGTTGAGCCTTGACCTTCCCCAGTCGTTTCTGTTCATCGCCAACCGTTGCCAATTTGCCGAGCCGATTTTCCTCGCGTCCTCGTCCACACCGTCCCTCCATCTCAGTCGTGGTCTGCCTCTACTCCTATTTCCCACTGGGACCGATAATAGAGTTCGTCTGGCTGGGTAATTTTCATTTGCTCTTGACATTTAAATCAGATTGTAATATATTTTATTTAGGTTCTGTGTATCTTTTTTGTCATTGATTGCGTTGGTATTTCTTTTTATTTTTATTGATTCGTATATCTCCATCTTCTTTTAGTTTTGATGTTTTTGATGATAGGTTTTTAAATTTTTGATGTTTTCGAAGTCACATTTATGCTTCTTCCCATTTTCATGTTTTGTGAGCGCAGTGATGTTGCTCTTGTCATATTTGTGAGCACAAATTCTGTATTGAAGCAGTTAACTGGTTTGCCTAATATAGACACCTTAACAGTTAATACATGGTATCTCGTAAACAACGTATCTCGTGTTTTTAGTTTGGTGAAATATTTATTTAAAAGGTTGTTGCCTTTGTGAGCCACTGTTATGTTATGTTTCGCTAAAAGATTCCTTAGTTGTTCGGATAAACCTTTTATATATGGAAGATTTGTATACCTACATAGTCTTGATATTGTTGGGTTTATTGTTATTTATATTGTTGTAAAATTTATTTAGTCTTGATTTGAAAAAAGTTTCGATTAGATGTTCGGGATATGCATTATTTAGGAGGACTTATAATTACTGATTTCTTATGGGAGAATGGATGGATATCACCGAATTTGGTGATATATAACCATTTTTGTTCCATCTATCAATACGATCATGATTTCTTTTTTGGAAAATATTGGTAGGATCATTTCTAAGTTTATGATATATGATTTCGTATTTTAAAAGATCATTAATTTTATTGTCGCAATCATTAGATTTCATAATAAGTTAGTTTTGTTAGTTTTATCAGGTTTCAGTACAACTACATTAGAATTTTCTCTCAAAAAGGCTTTCGTCTTTTGAATTTTTTTGTGTTTTATTTTCAAATGAACATTTATTTTTGTTTTTTAAATTGGTTAAAATATTACAACACTTTGTTCTTATTTGATGTTGTCAATTTGCATTTAAATTAGAAATCAAATTTTAAATCTAACATATAATATCAGATACAGGAATTTGGTTTTTGTTATAAATAGGAACTGAAAAGTAGTCTCCTAAACTTAAAATCTCCTGTGTGTCGTTCGGTATTTCCACATCAGTTAAATTTTCGGTCCAAAACCTCTCGAATTTATTTTCAGTATCATTTGATTTTAAGTCATGATACTATGACTAAGAAGATAAGATATTGCGCATAAGTCGTGACGTCATTGGAGAGTTGCACGTTCGAAATGTCAGTTTTTTGTATGTATCAATAAATAATCTTTAATAAATAGTTTGGATATATCCCTATGTGTATGATTATTGTAATTATTAAACCTCTTAACTTATTTTCGTCTAGTAATTTCATCACAGAATGCATACAAATCCCATTTAACTTTAACAAGAATTCAAATTCTAGTCTCCAATGACGGCATTCCAAATTTAATATTACTTATTGAACATAAACCCAAGAAATACTAATTTTATATTAAATATAGTATAGTTCAATAAACTCCATAAAATTAATAATGGTTTTTATCAATTTGTATCAAAACCAATCAATAAGCGAATCTGTATTGAAACAATATTTAAAAGATACTATATAACTGTTATGCTTTCTCTATATAATAAAAAATATTTATATTACGTACCATCTTCTGTTTCTTCTTCCATAATGACTGGCATCTCTTTATTTTTTGTATCTTCCTTTTCGGCTTTCTTAATCTCTTCTTGTATATCTTTAATATATAAATATCTAGTTTTATCATCAGAAGCAATTCTTTTTCCTATATTAGAATCATTTGTAGTCTTAATTCCCTGATCTTTGAGGAGAGATTCTAGTTCGGCTAAAGATAAAGACATTCCTCCCATTTCTTTGGACACTTCATCTAATGCCGATTGAACTTCTTTTCTCTTTAGCAGCCGTTTCATTTGGTAAGATGAAAAGTCATCACTTTGTTTAGGAAGCTGATGAAGCTTACCCCATGAGTTTTGTTTTCTAGTTTCTTTTAAATCTGTTAATATATCATGTTTTACCTCTAAAGGTAAAGACTTAAAATAATGACTGGTGGTATCAATAGTATGTAGATCCCATTGTTTTGTAGGACTTGAGTCTGTGGTCGTAGTTTCAGAACTCTCGTCCAATTCGTCATCTGTTGAGGACAATACGGATTCAAATTCTTCTGTTGGTGGAGCATAAAGATTGTCATATTTTCCGCTAGACTTTTTTATGACTGGTAATGACGCTTTAGTTTTTTCTGATAAAACTTTACTTATTGCAGTATGTTTCAAAAGTGTGCTCAGAAGTTGTTTTTGAAGTCTGTCTGCTTCGGAAGCATTTTTTGATTTATACTGATTTCTTTTAGCCTGAAATAAACAAATATATAGGATAACTCATGACGTGTTACTAGCATAAAATATTGATATAATTAAACTTTATTTGGTATTGAGGAAGAGTAATAAATAGATGTCAAGTGACCATTTGTAGGAATGTTTTTTTTATAGGCATACCATATATTGTATTAATTTTTTATGAATAATATGCACTATGGATGCGTCCATCTTTGGAGTTGTACTAGCATGACGTGTTTAATACGTTAGCGTGCGTTCATAATGAGGCGCCGACCCTCGCTCGGACCATGGGATGGTATCATCTTATCGATTTTCAGTCAAATAAATGCATTATTTTAAATGCGAGCGTTCATCGTCAGTGGTATGCTCTCTAGAAAATGTCACACCGAGAGTGCAGTACGGCTAATATTGGCAATTCGTCGTAAGCATTACGCCCTCTAGCGGCTATTGCAATAACCGAGTTAAGAGCCATTATTTATTTTCTTTCACGTTGAAGGCCATTTGATTAATTGATTGAAGGCATATTCACAATACACTATGGGCATATTGTGTTTTGGTGTCATTGGAGATTATAATAATAATAATAAAGGTCTTTATTTTTCCTTCAAATTCATACAATACACAAAATATATAAAATTATACATGCATATAATACTATAAGAAAGAAAAAATGCCGAAGATCAGGTGGTGCTGATTTCAAGAAATCAGTACCTCTGCTTTTCATCTTAACCAAGAGAAAAAAATGTAATATATTTTTTTACATGTTCTGTAACAATCAAATAAAAAACCATAACTAATAGAAACATTTAGCATTTAAATATTGTCCAAGAACTATCACACAGTTTATACATATTTCATAACAGGTCATCAAATAGCACATGTTTTAGTCACTTAGCAATTTAGATTAAGAGATTTCTTAAAAGATATAATCGATTTTAATTTTGTTTATTTAATTGATAGTGTATGTACTTTTGTACATATGATAGAGTATGTATTTTTACTTTCTAGTCCAGAATAGCACTCTTTCCTCAAAAGATGCAGTTGTGCAAGTGAACACTCCAAAAGTGCTTACATTGTATGAAATCGTTAATGACATTAAATTAAAAAACTGTACTTGTGTACATAACTTCACTATTTATAACTGTATAGTAAATATGACTGAAAATTATATTAAGGACAAACGAGTTCATAGGTAAACGTTCGACAGCGGATAATGTTAGTTCTTACAAAGTTTAAGTTAAATTTGACTTATGCCACTTTGGGTTCTTTGTTTGGTATAACAGCTGACTTAACAAAAACTTATATTTATAAATCTTGAGCCACAACTTACGGTCTTTGGTGTATTTTCCCACCAAAGGAGAAATTCTTAAAAACAGGTCACTTTGTTTTGCTGATTTTCAAAATGTTAGGCTAATTTTGGACTGTACTGACATTTATGTACAGACTCCAAGTGTTTGTGTTGCCGAATACTATTTTATTCTCAATATAAATCCCATTTAACAATTAGTTTATGATTGGTGTTTCACCTGGTGGGTTAATAACTTACGTCTGTGAATTTTCCAGTTAAAATAAGATAACCGAGTTTAAAACTTGTTTTCCTTCTACAGCACATCTTGAATTTTTAGTACCACCCAAAAACTTACATATATTCTAAGATATTTAACTTAAGGATTAAAAAATAGAACTTTAAGTTCTTGTTAACTCTTTAACTCTAACAAGTCTATAACTAAAATAAAACTTATAATTAACAAAATTGTCTATGTATTAATCAGTAGGAATAAACAATAGTCAAATAAAAAATATTGAATTTAAAACACCATGGATAAAAGAACAAAACTACTCCAAAAACATAAAACTAACGCAATCGCAATATACAAGATGAGGTGTAAACAATTATTATAATGGCTCTTAGCTCGGTTCAAATTGATACCGCATTGGCGCTGCGATCTTAATCCGAATAGTCAATAGGAATGCACAATTGCCGGATTTCACGCCTTGTGCTTGGCGATACAAACAGGTCCAAGTGGTAGTCACAGAACCGTACCCAGATCTCTACGCCGGGCTCTGTTATTTATTATAAAATAATATATTGATAAAATAATTGTCTTCAAGTAGCCAAATAAAAGGCATGAATTTGAATAAAAAGACCTTAAGTTTTTAGCGAGAATTTTATTATAAAACTGTATACTTTATTAAACTAACAAATGTATTTTAAATTACATTTCTTGATAGCTATAAATATACCGGGTGGAACCTCCGGTAACTCGATTTCCGTGCACCCAGCCCAATATCCAAGAAAAACTTTTTCTTTTGTAAATATATGAAAAATCAGGAACGGGAATATCGAAAAAGTTTTGCACATTTTTTAATCCGGGCGATGTTATTAAAAAAACAAGTTGCGCACTTGAATCACTGCGAAATTTTAACACCTACTGTGAAAATTTTTTTTGTGGAAATCTGAAGAGCAGTTTTTGTCCTTGTTAAAACATAATGCAGTCTCGCATTTTTTACACACAACATAAGTTTACCTAGTTCCTTGGCATAGCAACCTGGTAGTTTTCAGCAAAACCTTGTGTTATTCCATATGAAATAATGGTTTTCCATGTTTATTGCATGCAGGTTTTAAAACCTGCATGCAATAAAACATATCGTGAACCTCGTTTAGTAGGTGCTTTTAAGCCAATATCCTCTCGCTCCACCATGATGCTTCTTCGGCCACATTTCTTATAAACAAATCAAATATCTTTAAGAAGTCTGTATAAAGTAGAAAGAGACAACGGCTGTATATTCTCATTACTTTGTATGAAGTTATGTATATGCTTTAAGAATGGCGGCAAATTTTTCATGAAAAATTCACAATGAACAATTCTCCGTAGAATACTTCTTACACCCTCGTCATATGTGAATATTCTAGAATTTGATTGACACACTCGTTTTTTACATTTTTTTTTTGGCGATTTCAACGTTGCACTCTGTTCTTTTTCTTTTTTGAAATTGTAAATGCCTCTTTCGCTAACACCAGTCATCAACGAAGTACGTCTTACAGCAGCACTTACATTAAGTTGTTCCGTATTTCACCGGATTTAAATTTTAGGGGACTCCATGCTCTCTGTTGAAACTCGGACTAAATTTTGAAGTGTAGTTTCGTTTTCCAAAAGCACTTTCACCTCCTACCCATCCTTAGGATGGGTAGGGGGTGAAATAGGGAAAGCTTGGAGTTTATCAAATACTAATTATGACAATCAAGTTTATGGCCATATTTAGGTGATTATGTTAATGATGGTAATTTGTAGCAGAAGTTTTACAAAAGAAATGAAGACCTATTTATAGAAATAACATAACTGTATTTTTAATATTTTACATACAATAGAAAAAATCTAATTTCTATGAAAGAATTGGAAATTTGAATATTACATATAATATCTATAAATAATATCATTTTCAAGTTTCCAAATTCTTTCCTAGAAATTATGTAGGTTTTTTCTATTTTACGTAAAACATTAAAACTACAGTTATTGTATGTTGTTATTGTAAAGAGGTGTTCAAATGTTACTCTTATGAATATGATTCAATTGTATATCTCATGTTGACGTTTTATATGCAAAATTCATAGTTTTCGTTGTCAATAACTCATCAATGCCTTTTTATTCTACTGTATATGTATACATGATATAAAATATTTTACTCATACTGCCGGCAGATGCATTTTATCCAAGCCGGTCCTGTGAGACAATGAGCAATCAACAGCTGGAGAAAACCGACAACCCTGCGCATTTATTCTCCATAAGAAAAGCATTGCCGTATCTTACCCGTACTGCAGTCTCAGTGTGACATTTTCTATAGGTGAGGATACGATGCCATATTTTCCGTTATTAACGCACCCTTAAGCGCCAGAACGGTTATTGGCGACCAAGGCTAAACCATAGACGTATATATTAACATGAACTGAGCATGCCAGCATCGAGCAGTGACAACATATTTTGCAGTTGTTCGATCTGTCTCTCTCTAGCGCATTGAAACTCCCCACTCGCTCTCTTCCAAACAAAAAGAAACGCTACTATACTTACTTGAAATAAGATAGAGGCACAACAAAGATGGCGTCGTCACTTAGCTTGACAGACTGTTCGATCTATGTTAATATAACGTATATGGACTAAACCTACTCACGACCCCGTAGCGGTCATCGGTGACCGACATAGGCGATTAAAAATTTCGGTTCTGACAGGCGAGATGACCACTACAGCATGCTTAAACTATTTCATATGACCGATGTGGCCCTTTGCAACAGTGAATACTTATAAAATAGAGCAGATAAATCTAAAATAAGTCAATTTAATTTATTTGCCGATATTAATTAACCAAAAAAAAGAAAATATTTTTAATAGTTAAACTATATTTATTGTTATGGCCCAGTGCTTTAGCTAAGTCCGGAATTACCGAAAATCACCTTTTTATCCCTAATGGAAGCCCATAGGGAGGCGAAAAAAAGGAAGGCCCAGAACGAGATGGTTGGATGACGTGGAAGACGATCTGAAAACAATGAACATAAGACAATGGAGAAGAAGGGTACAAGAGAGATCTGAATGGAAGGACATAGCCAGACAGGCAAAGACCCATCCAGGGTTATGATGCCAAAAGAAGAAGAAGAAGTTCCAGCAATTACGTTCTCTTTATTATAAGCCAGCTTGCGTCATCTATGTACTTTTAATGTTCCATTTTGTAGAACAACCTATGGTGCTAATAGCCCACTGAATAGATACTTATCTTCATTAACCCACATACTACTACTGCCCTTTTAAAAGGCAATCGACCTATTTCCCTTAAATTGATAACTGATACTTACCCTTGATAGATGGCGCCTGTGGGGTTTACTGTCAAACATATTGATCAAGATATTTCATCAGTTGCTCGCTTTAAAAATTTATTTACATACCAGCATAACATGCTTCCTGCCACTCTACGCAAATAAGAAACAAAACTTTCGATTATCCTCAAAAAACTAGGATCTGCACAAT